TCCGTTCTCCTCTTTCTTTTATGTCTTGCACGGCAGTGCATGCTACCGAGCACGACTTCTTCCTCCTTTCTCCCCTTTCTTTTCTTTGCCTGTTTGACCAGAGGGCAGGCTGAGTCTTATACTACTGTGCTAGTCTTGTCACCAGGCAGCCTAGCAGTCGTGTCGATCTAGTTAGCGTGCCCGTCTAACTGCCGTGTCATATCAGTCGTTGCACCTGACTATCCGTCGTGCCAGTCTTATCATCGAGCAGCCTAGCCGGCGTGCCAGTCTAGTTACCGTGTCGTCTACCTGCTGCGCTAGACTAGCCACCGAGCCGGTCTTGCCATCGTGACAGTCTAGCTGCCCAATCAAACTTCTTCTCTCTTTTTTTTCACCTTCTCTCATCTCTTTTCTCTTTCCTCTCTCTAAAGTAAACACTTCTTTTTCTCCATCTCTGAAGGATCTCGTGAGAAACAAACCAGCCTTCGTTCATATTTTCCTCTTCTCAAAACAATGCACTTTATCTCTGAAGTGCTGGGTGAAAGCCAAACCAGCCTTCGTCTCTCCTTTCTTTTTAAAATATATATTTTCTTTGAAGGACTGGTTGAAAGACATACTAGCCTTCATTCTTTTTCAAGTTCTCTTTATTTTCCAAAATACACATTTCCTTTGGAGTTCTGGGTGAAAAGCAGACCAGCCTTCAATTCTTCTTTCTTTATTTCTTTGAAGTACTGGGTGAAAAGCAGACCAGCCTTCAATTTCATCATTCTTTATTTCTCTGAAGTACTGGGTGAAAAGCAGACCAGCCTTCAACTTCTTTCCCTTTCTTTTCTTTGAAGTACTAGGTGAAAAACAGACTAGCCGTCAAACAGACAAGGAGATGTCGTAAGGCTATCGAATCGACACAAACTCAATCATGTCATTTTTTGTTTTCCTTTGAGTACATACGCACGTGTGTGCTCACCCTATAACAAGGTGGGGTCCTCAGACCCACTTGTCTATATTCTAATATGTGTGTGTCGTCTCAAGTAAGAAGAAATAAGCCAAGGGTGACGATTCTGAACCAGGCCACAGGCCAAGGGGCATTCTTCATGATCTAAAAGGGTGCCCATGCGAATTAGCCCGATCGTGTCACGGATCCACGTGAGGTAAGTCCCACCTCATGACTCAATTCCTCTCTCACCGGTTGATATTTCTACCCGTATCTCCTTTATGCGGTTCACGAGAGAGCGATCTCAGTTCTTAAGTCGATCTTGAACCTAGAGCCACCCATCAAGTCATCCCGACCCGAGGGTGAGATCGAGGCACCTAACCACCGATATCTGCCAAAATGTTAGAGGCGCTCTACATCATTGATATCAAATGTTAGCTCAAGCACATCAACTGCATATGTTGAGCGTGTCCAAACTATACAATCATTAGCATCAACAATCGATACAAAAGGTGCAATATTTGATGATTGTTACAAGTTCATTATGGAGCAATTTTCAAGAATTTTTTAACATGTTGAAGAAGTAGAATGCATGAGGTCTCCTATGGTTGATTAAACATCTAATGCAAGTCTAGTAACTGAAGAGGATGAAAATAGACTTCATTGTGAAAGCATCCATGTAAAAAACCATGCTCGGTCTATCACAAAAGGGCATCATCCTGAAAAAAGGTTAAAGCCCCATATTGAAGTTGCCAAGAAACCTAGACATTGTAAGGTTCTTCATGCGGCCAAACTGACCATGATTATAGGAATTGTCCATTAAGAAGAGATTAATTTAATAAGTCATCATTATATGTTAAAGAACACCATTCTTGGTGTGATGTTGTCACAATTTTGGGGCTAGAAATGCTACGTTGCATATGAGATTTTTGAGCATTTACATGTGACAACTTTGTATATGTAATTTTGGAGTTGTACATAATGATTATTGTAAGGTTGAAATGTGGATGCAATATCGACGTTGTGCATCAAATTTATTGAATATATTTTTACTTGATTAAATGCTCCATTTTTTGCTAATTCACTAAATAGGATTTTCAAGCAAAGCGTCATTCTTTGTCCCTTTGTGGATATGTCATTGATTTTGAAATATGAAATTGAGGTATGGCAGGCACAACTGGGCAGCAATGCGTAGATTCTTAAAACTCACAAGATCATAAGGGCACCCCTAAAATACCAAGAGTTAAGTATTGTATGTTTCTTGGACGATACTCAAACACAAATTCTATAAGGTATGTTCATAAGAAATTCATGCGGCTGCAAGAAGACATAAGATGTGTTTGTATTGAGACTCATGCAAGTTTTTCATTTTTCGAAAAAAATAACCCCTTTGAGTGAGCAAGAGTTGAAAAAATGCACCAGCTTAAACATAAAAAGAAAAGTAATATAAAGGTAAAACTCACCTTTGGCAGTAAGACTGAGAGAGTCTGATTGTCATTTAAAACTTGGGAAAACCCAACTTCTACACTTCTACAACTCAAAGGACCACTATGTCGAGTAGAATCGGCTCCTAAACTGATTTTTTATTCACTTCTTGTAAAATAAAATGGCTTTTTCAATCTAATTACCGTTTCTTGTTTCATTAAATTGGAAGGATCGAATTGATCATCTCTTCTTCTTTACTGGAAGTAATAATGCAGGGGTTATGGGTATACCATTCCAGCTTTATGAGGATAGAATAGAACTGCAATTGGGCACGAATCACATAGGTATGAAATACATGGCATATAAAGAGAGAGAGAGAGAGAGAGAGAGGGTCAAAACACAACTTCCCACTGAATAAGAAAAACCTTATTCATGTAGGCACAAGATAAAATACATCAATTGTTTTAAAATTTAAGAGAGAGTGAGATCGCCATTAGCATTGCTTGCATTCCATCTCTCTCTATCACTATCAAGAATATTTTTTGGCCTTGAAAATAAGAGAAGCTCTCATGCCTTCTACTTTATGGTTTTGAAACCAAATATCTTCACCCCACACTTCAAACCAATGGTTTAAAAAAAGGATCGGTGACCCGGATCGGGCTTCTAAAAAACCGATCCGGATCGGCGAATCGACGATCCGGATCGAGAATCGGGTGAATCGGTCAGAATAAAGCTTAAAAAAAAATCCGAAAAAATTATTAAAATTCATTATAAATATTGTTTTTTAGGAATTCAATAAGAAATGAGGGTATTCCATAAAGAATTTTCATGTTTTTTAATGAATATGCGAATATTGATATATTCATTCCCTGCATGAACCACCATGCAACATTTAATTTACATCACACAAAAAGATAAACATATAATTATCATGGAATAAGTATATCAACATACATGGACTACAATAAAGCATAAAATTAGTAACATATGATCTAAAAATAAAATGATAGACGACGTTATTGTTCTTCTTGGTCACGCTGGTGCCATTGATTGAATTCGTTTAACAATTCATTGATTCGATCTAAAAACGAATCATCGATATTGCAGGCGTCTGACTATTCCCAAATCCCTGAGTGTTAGTGTCTTGTTGTGTTCCCAATCTAAAATCCCTAAAGATTGTCCATCCTTCATGCTCACCTGCACTGTCGTGCTCATCCCTACATTGTTGCTGTTGGGACTCGATATGTGAATAATATAGCTGGGATAGGGTGGCCTCAAAATCATCATCTCTCTCATTTTCTCTTTGAATAATATGGATTAAAAAAAATAAATAACAAATTTTCAAAAAAATCGATCATAGATTAAAAAAAAATCACAAATTTTAAAAAAATTCTATCATGGATTACAAAAAAAATTCGATCATGGATTAAAAAAAAAAATCACAAATTTTCAAAAAATTCTATCATGGATTACAAAAAAAATTTGATCATGGATTAAAAAAAAATCACAAATTTTCAAAAAATTCAATCATGGATTACAAAAAATTCGATCATGGATTACATAAAATTCGATCATGGATTACAAAAAAAAACAAACAAAAAAAAACAAAAAATTCAATCGTGGATTACAAAAAAAGAAAAAAACAATTCGATCATGGATTAGTAAAAATTCAATCATGGATTACAAAAAACTCTATTATGGGTTACAAAAAAAGCAAAAAACAAAAAATTCGATCATGGATTACAAAAAAAAAACAAACATTTTGATCATGGATTACAAAAAAAAACAAACATTTCGATCATGTATTACAAAACATTCGATCATGGATTACAAAAAATTCTATCATGGGTTACAAAAAAAAATAAATAAATAAAAAATTCGATCATGGATTACAAGAAAAAAAACAAACATTTCGATCATGGATTACAAAAAATTCGATCATGGATTACAAAAAATTCTATCATGGGTTACAAAAACTAAAAAAAAACAAAAAATTCGATCATGGATTATAAAAAAATAAAAACAATTCGATCATGGATTACAAAAAAATCGATCAAGTATTACAACAAAAAAATAAATAAATAAATTCCGATCGGGACTCGCCGATTCACCGTACGGACTCGCCGATTCCGTACAGTGAATTGGCAAGTCACCATACAGAATCGTCCGGTTCTCTTTAGAACCGGATGATTCCCGTTTTTTCCCCGATTCGATCCGTCCATGGCGATTCCCGAGTCGAACCGGGCAAGTTCGGTTCGACTCGGCGTTTTTTTAAACACTGCTTCAAACCAAAGGCTCTACTCTCACTGCCCCATACAGTTCCCCATTCAAAATACGCAGAGTAAGTTGTGAATCTCCCAATTCTTGATCCTAATTCTTCAAGTCTAGCAAGGCGGAGAATGGATCAAACAAATAAAACCATTACTCCATAGAATTTAATCCTTTAGCTATGAAAAGAACAAGAAATCATCAAATAAATAAAACCATTACTCCGGCCTTTCCTATCATCAGATAATTATTTTACTGAAAATAATAATAAATCATTCACTTGATTCCAAATTTAATCCTTTAAGTATGAAAAGAATTGCATAATCAAGGAAAACATGGAATCAAAACATGAAATATGGCTGGGGCATATTTTCAAACATTTGGACTCTGCAATAAATTGAAAATAATCATTATTGAATATATAAGGCCAAGCCCTTCTAGGGAACATCACGAATTCAAAAGAAATCAAGCCATGAAAGAACTTTGTGACAGAAACCTAATTCAAGACAAGATATAAACTGAAAAATGAAAATGAAATTCATTGGAGCAATAAGTTACCTACATAGCCTTTGGTGGCAACAAAAAAATCCCAGGTTTTTATAAAGGGAACATCACATATTTGTATGTGACCAAGGTATCATAAATTGAATGCCTTACTTGGAGACGATTGCTTCTATTTGGGAGAAGGTGATCTCTTATTTGTTACTTCTTTTCTATGTTCACAAGATATCATAAACTGCACTCGATGGGTGGCATTTTCAGAATTCCTGAACAAACCCAAATACAATGAAGAATCAAAATGAAGAAAGAACCCTACACCAACAAATCAGTGAACATATAGTTCAACAAACCTAAATACAGTGAAAAATCAAAATGAAGAAAGACCCTACATCAACAAATCAGTCAATATATAGATCAACAAACCCAAATACAGTGAAAAATCATAATGAAGAAAGAACCCTACACCAACAAATCAATCAACACATAGATCAACAAAGTAAATTCTAGAAAAAAAATCCCATAGATAAAAGAAAAAGAAAAAGAAAAGAAATGGCATTCAGTGTGGCATTCGTACCTGGTGTGATCGGAGATCTCCATAGCTGGGATCACATGAACGTGAAAATTAGGGTTTTCTCGAGGTAAAAACTAAAGGTGTCTATCTGTAACAAAAATGCCAAAAAGAAATGGCGGGCCTCAGCAAGGAGAGAGAGGCGACTATCTCAAGTCAAAATAAAACCTACTAAAATCGTACTCAAAAAATCTTTCACCAAAAAAAAAATCCCCAAAATCTTACCCAAATAAAGCTATCTAAATCTCACCAAAAAAAGAAAATATTCCTTATGCAGAAGAGCACTTCCATTTTTGCCTGGCATTTTGGCATTTTTTCTGATCAAGAGAGAGAGAGAGCTGGGGAGGGCAAGGCGAGAGATCAAGAGAGAGAGAGGATGGGGGACGGTAAGGAGAGAGATAAAATAGAAAAGTATGTGAGAGAGAAGAGATTGAGATGAGCTTTAAATTTTGGAATTCAAATTTTACCACATTGAAGTATGTTTTTTCAATTTTGAAGTAAAAGTCACAAATGCCCTTCAATAGGTTTTGGTATTCAAATTGTATAGGGGTAAAGAGGGTAAAAATGAGGTTCACAACTTAATCTAACGTGAACTTGTTGTTTTTAAGTTAATCCTAGAAGATCTATATATATATATAATATCATTATAAATTTTTGTTGTTTAGGAATTCAATAAGAAATGATAGTATTACATTAATAACTTGTATTTTTTGCATCAATATACAAATATTGAGATCTTCCTTTCCTGTATAAACTATTGTTAACCATTAAATTTATATCACATAAAAGAAAAAATATAAAATTATCATGGATAAAGTATATAATCATACATAGACTGCAATAAAGCATACAATTCGTAAAATACGACCTAAAACCAAAATGAAAGATGATGTTGTTCTTCATCTTGGTCACGCTGATGTCATTTATTGAATTTGCATTACAATTCATTGATTTAATCTATAAACAAATCATCCAAATTAGTAGCCACCTGATTATACCCAAATCCTTGAGTGTTAATATTTTGTTATGTTCCTAATCCAAAATCCCTAAAACTTATCCATCCTTCATGCTCACTTACACTATCATGCTTGCCCCTACCCTCTTATTGTTGGGGCTTGGTATATAAATAATTTGGTTGGGATTGGGTGGCATCTGAATTTTTCATCTCTCTCATTTCTCCTTATACCCCTTTCCCCTCTCCCTCATTAGGTGCAATACCACCGAAATCTCTGACGACTTGTGGATATGTGGGCGGGTGCTTCCTCTTTCATGTTGTTCATTACTTTCTTCATCATCTACCTCACCGATAATCTCAACAAACACTCTCTTACGCAACACTGGCTCATCTTCCTCCACTACGCATTACTCTGTTGTGTCTGTGACAAGTATTGTATCTAAGTTTATTAGGCTGTAGTCTTCAAGCTTCATTCTTATTTGCCTCTCTCGGAGGTTCAAATTGTAATGAATGTTGACTAGCTTATGAATCCTCTCCGAAGCGAGTCGATTCCTCCTTGGTGGTGTGCAACCAATAGAATGTACTCCAGTTTGACTCACACCCGGTAGCAGAATATGTCTGAGAGAGCACATTGATGTCTATCATCCTTAGGTGATGCGCATCACTACCATACATCTCTCATCATTCAGCTGGATTAAAATGCAAAAAGCATTATAAGGGCAAGAATATTTCATAAGATTAAAGATATAAAAGAACAACATGTTAGTTAGGGGTTAACTTGGATCTATCTTAGTTCGAGAATTCCTGACAAGTCTAGTTCCGAAGGATCTTATAGCATCCCTATATATAGAAATCTGAAAAACAATTATTTCGTTTTAGTGCATTAGTTATCCCTCACAAATATAACAATTCAATGAAGTTCTTACCCAAATATTGACTCTTACCTCTTGTACTGCCTCTACCTGGTTTCGTTGGCTTCTATTCAGCCTGCTAACAATATATCAGACCCCTTTCCATAATTTTGTTGTGATGCTCAGGTGTCAAATAGAAAAAATTTGGGTTAAAGTAGAAACCTAGAAAAAACATAGATGGAGAAAGGTTATTTAAATATACATTAAAGTTTTTTGGAAATAGTGGTTATATATAAATTTTGTAATGGACCTCGTTGCCTCTAGAGTCTCCTTCACAATTGGGATCTTGTTGATCTCCTCTAACATAAGATCGATGATGTGTGCAACATATGGGGTCCATAGTAGATGCTTTCTCTTATCCGTCAACTTATTTCTAGTAGAAACACAAGCCCTCGCATTGTCCGTAATAAACTGGACTACGTGCCTATCTCCCACCTCCTCCACTATTTAGTCACATACTTGTACCAAGAACTTTGCATCCTTCTTTATCCGTGAGATGTCTTTGCTAGACAGGAAGGTTGTACCTTTTGGGCAATAGGCCAAGAAGTTAAGATATTCCTTCTGACTAATTTTATTCCACCAACCATCACTTATGAGAGTAATGTCTGTTCTTGGCCAACTTTGCTTATATTCTTTAATTCACTTTCTAACTTTCTCCACCTCTTCATCCAAGATCGGTCTACTAAGCTCATATGTTATTGGGGGCTTTACCTCGGGTCTGGTTTTCTAGATTGCATTAATCATAAGCGAGAAATATAGGCCATTGGATACATCAAAGTTGATCCCTTTATCATATAATCATTTTACCAATATATATGCACATCAAGTTCCTTGTACCTTTCACCATACCTTTGAGGGTCATTTGTTGTGACCTGGGCTTTGAGAGGAATGAGTCTATGCGATCATGACCTGCAATACTAGTGCTCCTACATAAGCCACAAACAATTTCATCAATGTCTGGTATCCATACATGTTTGAGCTAGACAATGCCATTTATACTCAAGCATAACCCGTCATGCATGCTCGAGCTGGGCTCGCTATGCGTGCCCATGCCACAACCACCAGACATTTCGAACCCTCTTTCCCAAAGGTATGTTTCTTGTAAGCTTATTTTGATGGCTATCTCTAAGTCATGATTATATTGATCTTCTGGATCAATCCCGCTTGGTGACGTATATAAGCCAACTATCTCCTCATTCATCAACTTATTTGTGTTTTTTTCCCCTTGTTAGCCTTGATAATGACCACCATCTGCTTTCTTACATTGTTAAGGATACTAGGGCACGCAGAAACATCTCTCTTTAACCCTGTCAAATGTTGGTTAAACCTATGTACCCAATTATTTATCACTTTTTTACAAGAATTACAAATAATTTTATCTTTTTTGTTGAGAGCAAGTCTGACCCCATATTGCGATGCAGGGTCTTCCCTAGAAAGCGTTATGGTTCAACTGTTTTAAGATATAAATGTTCAAAAATGAACTTGACAATTCAACATGAAAAATAATCACCATGTAAATTGATAATATGTAGAGGTAGTTCATGAAGTTATCTTTTTTGTTCATATAAATACCAGCTAGAGAACTGTGTTCCATTATAATACCAAAACAGCTAGGGCCACTCAATAGTGCCAAGAACTGTGGTTTTTCCAACGAGGTAAAAGACCAAAAATTCAAAATAACAATTACCAGATATAAGGTATGAATAACTCAGTGCAAGTGAATGGAGAACCAAAATAATAATTGGAGAAGACAAAAAAAAAAAATCAAGGATTTGGAAGACCCTTATACCAGAAAAGCAGAGTGCTTAACCTATGGCATGGGACCTACTATATGGTGTACCTAATATTATGAATAGAGTATGATGGATTTAAAAACCATGGGGAACTCCATATATTACAGAAACTAAGTATGAAACCAACTGGTTTTGCTTAAATTATTCTACAACATACAAGAATAGTTGAACATAATATCGATACTAATAGATTTTAAGCTACAAATGAGAACCCGTATTAGAAAGCCTAAAAGAAATTGTACGGATGAACGACTTCATTACATATAGGCGGCAAATTAGAGCTTTGGGATGGTCATGGAAACGTATATAAAATACTTCAAACAATAAGGAAAGGCCAAGCTATATGCTACAAGAAAATATGTTAAAATTATGGTACAAGTTTATTGTGTGAAAAGGCCAAGCTATAAAGATCGTGCTTTAAAATATGTTTGCTAAAAATCGACCTTATAAGTGTTCATGTACAGAGATCTCAAAATATATATATATATATATTATGGTGAAATCTAGTCTTAACACGATCATTCAGAAAAAAAATTTGGATCAAATCGATGGAGAATAGCTCCATGATTCAACGTTTTGTGGAAAACCAAACCCTCTCCAAAAAAAGAATCTCTCTTAAAAAAAATAATTACAAAACTAAAATATAAAACAACTCGTGGTACCTGATTTTGATAAAAGCCTATATTACCACGATCATTTAGCAAAAAAATGGATCAAATAGATAAAAAATGGCCACTAAAATCTTGAATTGGCAGAAAATCCCATTTTGCTAAAAAAATCCCAAATTTCAGTCAAGAAATTCACAATACGGCATTTTTTTTGTTCAATCCAACCCTAATCATTGTTTTATAGACCTAAAAAGTGATTCCCCTCCATGATTCATAAAAACGACGAATTTTGATGAGTGTGTATGCTTCCAACAGCTTTTTTATTGAAAGGGGAAGAACATGGGCTCAAAAAAGAGAGCATAAAATAACACATAAAACAACAATTCATGGTACCTAATTTTGATGAAAGCATGCACTACCATGATCATTCAGCCAAAAAAAAGAAATATCAAAGTGATGAAGAACAACCACATAAATCGAGTTTTGGCAGAAAAACCTAATCCGCTCAAAAATCCCCAAATTTCAGTCAAATATTTCATTATTTTTTTTTTTTCTTGGGTTCGATCCAAGCCCAATTGATATTTTATGAACTTAAAAAGTTATTCCCTTCATTATTGATAAAAAAAAATGGATTTTTTATAGCTTTTTCTGTAAAAATGGCTTTTTCTATGAAAGCCTGTGAAATCACAAGTTCTATTGTAGCATGGGCGTGCGTGTTACGGTAGCGAATCGCCCGTGTTATTGTAGCAACTCACCGAGTTATAGCTAAAAATTACTAATTCGCCTCTAACACACGCCTAGTTTTCTGTTTTAAGAGAGAATTGGATTAGGATGACTGATTCCCCGATCGACCTGGGCTATTTCGTGATGAGTCGCCGATTTTTTAAATCCTATTTAGAACTAAGAATGAATGTAGAGAAAGAGATGATAAAAAAAGGAACTAGATTCTGATTGCAACAATAGTTGGCAGTTTTCCATTTAGAAGAGCAATCCCATGTTCATTCAAAAATCAAAACCCACGAATAAAATTTCTCCCTCCAAAAATGTGTAGAATTCAACACGAGCAAGAGAGAGAGGAAGTGTTCTCCTTCCTGATAGTCTCACATATATATTTCGGGTTATTGA